CTTTCTCAGGTTCCTGCTTGTAACTGCTTCTGTCCACTTTTCAGTGTAGGCAATTCTAATATTCAGGAAATCCCGCCAGGTAGGTCTTACCGTCTCCACTTTTCAGATGAGGAAACTGAAGCTCTGAGCAGGTTGGTGACACTTTCACGCTCATGTGATTAGTAGTATCTCTGGGTTGTTTTCATTCCATGGTGCTTTTCATTCTATGGTTGTGTGTGTGGAGGGGGAGGGGGTGTTGTGTGGTGTGTGTGGTACTGGAGATTGAACCCAGAGCCTTTACTCTGAGCTACATATAGGTACATTTCCTAAGCTGGGCTTGAATTTATGATCCTCCCGCCTCAGCCTCCCAAAATGTTAGGATTAAAGGTGAGCACCACCACACACAGCTTCTGTGATGGCTCTTTTGCAAAGCACAGTCTCCTATTAAAAAAAAAAAATCTCTTGATTGTAGAGCCCTGCTTAGATTAGCAGGTGACCAGAGAGTGTTACTTGTGTCAAGAGAATTCACACTGTATGGTTTTATTTTATTTTATTTATTCTTTTTTCTTTCATACCAGGATTCGAACTCACGACTTCACACTTGCCAGGCAGGCACTGTGCCGCTGAGCTAAATCCCCAGCCCCAACACTGTATGATTTTAGAGTCTTTTGCCTACCAACACTCTCTCTGTCTCTGTATATTGTTTTTACCGTTTCTCCTTCTTGTCACTTTCCTGCTCAGATCCTTTCTTTGTCTGGCCAGGATGAAGTCTCTGGCTGAAGGCTGCAGGGTTGTGTTCAGATTGCACTGGGCAGAGCTGTGGTGAATTGTTCTAGGTATAGATAGGTGGAAAGAAGAGGGGGTTTTCTCAGAGACGGTGCATCTTGCCCTGGCTTTACCGGGTCACCAAGGATTGTATGAGCGTTACCTAAGGGAGGCCTTTACAGAAACAGATTGCAAAAGCTGTCTGAATATACGTGGGAAATGCCACTGCAGGCTGTTTGGTGTCTGCTGTTCTCCATACCTGGTTGGCTTCTAGCAATGTGAAGGTGCTCCCACCCCCAGTTCCTGCCCGCCGCTCTCCTCCAGCGGTTTCAGTGCTTCTGGGGAGCTGAGTAGACCCCAGCAATGCCCATTCCTCAGGGTTCCTGCCCACCCCACCCAGACCTCACCTGGACTGGAAACTAAAATTCCACCCCAGAGTGGATATTCAGTAAAAGAATTTACTTAACCTTTTGCTTTTTCTTTTTTTTTTTTTTTAAAAGAGGTTATTAACCTGGCTTCAAAGCTACTGGAATACTGGATGGCCCTAACAGGTGGCATAGTACTGTGGGTTATGAAGGATGAATTATGTTTTCCTATGCCAGATTATGGCATACTCTTTATATGAAGGAGGAAATTCTTTAATCTGACCCTCTTGGAATTTATCTAATGTTAAGTCTGTTATTTATATCATACTGTGACAATTAAGAAATATAATTGTATAGATGTCATGTTTATAGTTTATTGTTTTGTTATTTCTGTTTTTTGTTTTATCCGTTTTACATTGCCTCATCTTAATTTTAAAAACATGTACTGTTTAATATCTTACATTTACTCTCTTATAGTAAAGAAATAATTCATCAGCTGACAAAAGATGATTGAAAGACGGGGTTTTTATTTTTTTATATATTTTTTTAGTAGCAGGAATTGAACTCAGGACCTTGTGCTTGCCAGGCAGGCAAGCCACTGAGTTATATCCCCTGAGCCACTGAGCTATATCCCCAGCCCAAGACCGGGGTTTTTATGACGGTGGGGTCCTGAATTCCTTTGTGCCTCTGAATTGGGTTCAGCGTCATTGAAGTTTCCTAACCTGGCCGAGGGGTGCTCAGTGGAACACAGATGTTACCTGGCGGATGTCTGCAGCCCACCTGGCCTTCCTAGGCTACCAAATATAATGCTCTGCCCATTTTCCTTTCTCCTTTCCCCTCCTCATAAGGAACAGTTTTATTTCTTTTTTAATCACTAGGAGAAGGGTTGAACCAATGATTATGAACATAATCGAAGGATGGAAAGAAGAGGGAAAAATAGAGCTGGGCATGGTGGCGCACGCCTGTAATCCTAGCACTTGGAAGGCTGAGGCAGGAGGATCGTTGTGAGTTCGAGACTGCCCTGGGCTACAAACTGAGCTCAAGGTCAACCTGAACTGCGTAGGGAGACCCTGTCTCAAAAAAACAAAAAAACAAAAAAACAAAAAAAAAGGAAAAATAGAAGATGAAAACATGAGTGGGGAGCTCCACTTAAGGAACATCCTGGATGGCGAGTGTGGGTGGGGCTAGGGTATTGTGGACAGAAATGCCTCAGAGAGAGTGTAGCAGATAGAAATGAAATGGGTAAAGAAGAAAGGAGAATTCATAAATGTTGCTGTGGCCAGGTATTTGTCTTCTCTTCTGATGGCCAAGATCTCAAAAAATAACTTGGGCCTTTGAAATTTCTTGTCATACAGGAATATATATATATATATATATATATATATATATAATTTAATGTAATTTTTTTTTAAAATACCATATCACCTTGAGACTAAATGATATGGATTCTGGCTTTATGCAGGTTTTACCTGAAAAATATTTCCTACGTCTTCTCTATTTTATTGGCTGTTTGTTCCTTTCCGAGGTACAATATTATGGTTACGTATCTTCAGGATTTGCCTATGCTGAGGTGGATCACAGTAGTGAGACTGTGTCTGCAATGAGTGTAGGCCCAATTCATCTCACTTACTTAATCTGATGAATCTGAGAAGAACTGTTTACTACCAGGAATAAGAAGCATTCCGGTTAGAGTTTGTTTAAATAGTGAGGACAGGAGGAACTTACTCTACTTGTACTGACTGGAATGATACCTGTTGGATAAGCCTCAAATGGTTTGGGTATGTTCTGTCCTCCTGTCCAGAGCATCCTAAGAACACTCTTATCTTGTGAAAATGTCAGAAGTTTTTTTTTTTTAAAAAGGGGAACAATGATTTTTCTCATGTCCTTTCAAATTGTATTTTTTATTAGAAAAATCTCCAAAGTCATAAGCTGTCAGAAAGATAGGGTGTTGTACTTATTTATAACAGAACTATCTCAGTAATTCTTTCCCCAGTGTGTTTACTAGAGAAGTTCTTTCTATTATTCATCAGGTTCTAAAATACATTCTAAGATGTGTGTTCGCCAGCTTAGTCTGTCGAGAGCTCTCAAGGGGTCCAGGAGACACATTTGCTTCCCTGAACGGCCAGCGCCAAGTTCTGCTTCTCGCTTGTCCTCGTGGAAATAGGCTCAACATGAGTAGCATTTCAGGTTCACTCAGTTGTTCTCTCATTCACTGTTCCAATGTCTGTCACTCCAGCAAGAAGTTTGTGAGACAAGTGTTACATTAAGAAACTAGAGCCTTACTTGAGGTGGCCATAGCTTACCTAGTTCTTTTTAGAGAAAAAATAAAAATGTGTCCATATTTCCTAATATTTCCTCTATGCTATTTTAATTGTTTAACTTATTTGGGACCAGTTCTCTGGCTTTCTCTGTTATCTGAAGGATTTTCCATCTCCTACCTTTCTAAGTGTCTTGGTCTCTTTTGTGTTGCCATTATAGAATACTTGGGACAGGGAAATTTATAAAGAACAGAGATTTATTTCTTACGGTTCTTTTTCGTTTGGTTTGTTTTGTTTTTTTGAGACAAGGCCTTGCTATGTGGTCTAGGCTGGGCTTGAGCTTATTATATTGACCCCAGCAGGCCGGGAACTCAAGATCCTCTTGCCTCAGGATCTGGACTGCTGGGATTTTAGTTGTACGATACCATGCCCGGATATTGTTCTGAAGACTGGGTCATTTGTGATTGCTAGCCTGCACCTGGTAAGGGCCTTCCTTCAGTGTCACCCATGGTGGAAGGCAGAAGGGCAAAAGAGCATAGGAGGGCCAAACACACTGTTATGATAACTAAATCATATTCTCGATAGCATTAACCTATCCATGAGGGCTCTGACTCTTTATCAGCCCCATGCCCCAGCACTGCTACACTGAGGATGAAATTTCCAGCCCACTAACTTTGGGGGATACATCTAAACCACACTAACTTATCTCCTGGATCGTGAAATGCAGTTGGCTCTATGCTGAATTTTTATGAGACAGTTGGTTGTGTAATCCAGGACAGGTTTCCTGATTACCTTGGATTGGGTGCAAAGGATCATGGTTTCCTCGAGAAGTTTTAGAGGCTTATTTTGCTTTTCTATGTGTAACTTACCTCCCTCTCCGGGTTGTTGGTTGCACAGTGCAGTGTCTGGATGTCAAGTAATCCCCGCCTCACTTGGACACACCATCCAGGAAGTCCAAGGTAGAAACTGGGGCTACAAGCTCCTTCTAGGATCAGGGAAGAGTTTAGCGCCTGAGGGACCAAGCTAAGCCAGGTGGCACAGGAGCACCGAGGTCCATGTATCAGGTTGAGTGTGCGTCAGCATGAAATCTAGGGGGTTTAAAGCAGGGATCTGAGTCTGGGCTGTTTGGAATTGGGGATATAAAGTGAAAGGATATTGGGATCAGGGTTCAGGTGGGAGGAAAGAAAATGCTTAATCAATTTTCTTGAATCATTCTGAGAGTATGTTTGAGTCCAGCTAGGGCAGACATTTCTGAGAGGTAAACCATCCCTAATTGGTTGAATAAATAAATGATCAAGCATTTGTAAAGATGTTTCCTATTGGCAGAACAGGTAGGACATTTGAGGTCAGAGTTGAAGGGCCTAACATTACCAAGGATTTGTTTTTCAGGGCAGAAAAAAATGTATTTCATCTTCACAGGGTGTTTTTATTTCTTGCTAACCTTCTACCACTTTGATCAATATACAGTTAAAATTTTATCTTCTGGTCAATCAACAAATCCCAAATTCAATTGATTATAGCTCTTCTGAGAGGAAATCAATACATAATTCTGAATTAGGGTTTAGTCAAAGATACAGGCCCACTATGAGAACACAGATGAAGGAATATAAACCTCCTCGCTTTGCATTTATAGGAGCTGAGAAGAGGCAGTCTGCAGCTGTCCTTGTCCCTACAGTGTCAAATGTTGAGCCTGAAATCTTCATGGGCCAGCTGCATGGGCAATCGAGAAGGGAACTGGTGTGGGTAAGTACAGGGACAAACAAATATCATGGAGCCCACAAGGACACCTGGAATGCACGAAGACTAACTGGGCCCTGTGTGTCTCTTTCAACTCCAACTTCAAGTTGGCTGTGACCCGCAGAAGCTGGTGTCCTCTGTCACAAGCTGTATTTGCACCTGGTCCAGGAATCAGAGAAATTGTTGGAGAAGGTATGGCAGGAGCTGTAGGAGCTGTGGGTCTGGGTGCCGTGCCACACAGTTAGGCTGGACAACAGACATATTTCTGCTGGCCAGCCGCTACCTTCAGGGTGTGGAGAACACGGCCATTGCTTCATTCCTGTCTTCCAAATGTTATGCAAAAATATCTCTTGTGGCCAACCCCAACCTAGAACTGTGCAGGAAAGTTAATTCTTGGAAACAGCTACTGTTTAGCTCAGTTGTCAGGGTACAAAGTCACGATGGCTTATCTCTTGTCAATTTGGCATTTGTATGCATTTCTCTGAACCATGTTTAACGTCCAAATAAAGACAAAAGCAGCATTATGCTTTTGTCCAACACGATGTAACTCTTTCTGTACTACTCAAAACACGCTACCCTGTCTTGCAAAAGGTTGTATCTCTATCTGTCTGTGGGTGATTTCAGTTACTCTTCAAGCTCAGTCACATTCCTCTTTGCAATTCTTAAATTTCTTCCACAGCTGTATGAATATTCACACCAAGTTATTACCATTAACACATGTTAGATGGTTGAGGAATGAGAGAGGGTAATTATTATTTTTTTTAGACATCAAACATTTTAGACCGCAGCTAGGCTCAGTAAAATTTCTATTTTTTGTGTGTTAAACTAGTGGTTTGCTCCTTGAATTTAAGTTGGCTATTTCATCCTGCTTTAATTCTGTCAAATGTATCTTGAGGGGAGTGAGGATCCCAAGCTAAGCCTAAATTGATTCTGCAGTTTAGCAGTTGGGCTACTGATAAAGGTGAATGTGGTGAGCCCCTCAGGCATCTATTTTGCCAAGGGGACATGAAAACTTGGAGGAAGAGCTTTTAAGGGACAGAGGTGGAAAGATCAGGAGGGAGAGTGTCTTAAGTCAGTTTTCAGCTGCTATAACAGAGTACTTGAGAATGGATAGTTTATAAAGAGCAGAGGGTTATTGGCATAAGGCTGGGAAGTTTACATCAAGGAGCCGCATCTGGTGAGCGCCTTTGTGCTGTGTCATAACACGGTAGCAGGATCACAGGTGAACGGGTATATGAGGAACAGCAAGAGAGGACCAATTTAGAGCAAATCCACTCTCTAAATAACTAATCTACTCCCACAGTGATGACAATCCATTCCCAGAAGCAGAATGACCAAATGACCTAGTCACCTGTACTAGACCTCACCTCCCAGTACTGTTGTGGTGGGGATTAGATTTTCAATATGTGAGTCTGGGGAGACATACTCAAACAGTAGCATGCGGCGCTTGCCAGTCCAGCTCCAAGTCTCAGACGTAACCTTCAAAGACAAGGGAACAGCACTTAGAAAGTAGAGGACATAAAAATTTGGGCAGATATAATCCCGCTTTGGGATCCGTGTGACAAGATGTGACACTGAGCTGGAGAATGGACAATTTCTTACAAAACACCCTGTTTTACTTGTCTGCATGGAAGTTGGAAGGATGGGAACAGAACTTAATCTCCAGGATTTATAGTGAGGATTGAGTGAACTTAAGTCACTTAGTACTGGGTCAGGGTTTAATGCCTGTTTGTTTCAGTATTACCTCTCTGACTTCATAACTTCTGGAGACATTCACCCTTGTTTCTCTTCCTGTCAGTCAGTAAGTCCCTTCTGCCTACCTCCTCCTGGCCAGCGGGTGGTGAAAACTGTCCCTCAAGGACTCCTAAGGCACATTCCGAATACTTTGCTATGGCATGGGTGGCCTTTTTTATTCAATTTATTTTATTTTTACTGTAGAGTGCTGTAATTCAAATGCCCTGAAACCAGCCAGGCCTATTCCTGCTAGCACAAGCAGGGATAGTGGAATCCACAGCCTCTGTGGACTGTGGGTCAAGCATTTGGATTGTAATGGAGATCAGATCACAGGTGGCCACATGGCTCTGAAGATTAGAATAAGGACGGATGAGGGTGGCCCTGATGTGTAGTGCATCTGCATGGTTTCCTTTGGGAAAGACTGGGAGTGGGTGGGAGGAAATTGGACTTTGAGGAAGGAAGAAAAAATGGATTTTAGCAGTAATATTTACAATGCCTGTAACTACTAATGTATTGGGGGTGAGATTTGGTGTAGATGAACAAATGCATAGAGACGTTGGTCAAGAGAATAGAGTGTTATGCTTGGGAAGTTTCTGCCCTTAGCCTGCTCTATGGAGTCTGTATTCCTCAAGCTCAGTTATCTATGTCCGGCAAGTGGCTCACAGGAGCCTGGCACAAGTGGCCTGCTTGCACGCTGGAGATGAGGGACAGGGCTGTCTTTGTGGTCAAGGGGGAGTTAGAGCTTACTTTATCTCTCGTTATTGGCCGTCTTTTCCCTGAAGGAATAGGGCACCAAGTACAAGGCTCCCAGGTGGGAATGGAGCTGCCCTTTGGGCAGGCGCTTTGACAAGAGAAGGACAAGACCTCCTTTTTGTTGTAGTTGCAGAATTTGTCTGGCTGTTCCCAGCAGCCTATGGAAGAAGGGAAGTTACTGTAGAGAGAATAAAGCCTCCACAAGGGACCAGATACTACATCCCTGCATCCTACCTAAGTCATTTAGGGAAGGGAAGAGGGAGAAGAAAAGAATGCTCTAGGCCAGCTACCTTGCTGGGCTTCAAGAAAACGTATAAAACACAGAATAGTACTTGACACGGAGGAGCTGTGGGTTAGCATGGCTATTAGTGTTGTTACTGACATTATTGCTTAATTCTCACAGCAACATAAGGTGGGCAGTTTTTAATCTCTACTTTATGGATGGCAAAATTGAGGTTTGGCAAAACGAAATACTTGGTGTAGGTGGGGTCAAAATGTAACCCAGCCTGTCTGACTTCAAACTCTGTAGTAGGGAGAAATGCTGGTCCTCTTTGGGGTCTGAGGCTGATCAAGGGTCAGTGTGGGAGGGACAGATGGGGTGAGGGTAGACAGGTGAAGCAGGTGCTGGGCATTGGTGATTGGTGGGCAGCCACTCTGAGGGACATGAGCAGCCTTGGCCCCTTGGGGGCCGTGCCCGGGATGGACCAGCTGGACAAGGCCTCTGAGCATTACTGAGCACAGGGATACCCTTAGAGGGTGAGGCTGGGGCTTGCCCCCCAGCAGGACTGCTGGTGCGTGCTCAGACAGTGACTGGGCGCATAATTCCTTGTCATTGTTGTTGCCAGTGTTATGATCATGTTCTATGCCTATGGGCTACAGGAATCTAAAAGAACACAAGAATCAACATAAAAATTGATTCACCTTCCCAGGTCAGAGTTACAAGTGTCAAAATTCTCAGGCTTGATCTGCCGGTGATGTTATGACCACATGCCTCTATTGAAATTCCTCTTTGCAAGGAAAAGGGTGTGTGTTGTTTTTTCCAGCAGTGGAAATACAAATGATTCACTCTGGAAACGTTGGATGTTTCACTCACTAATTTGTTTGCTAGTAAATGATTACCCAAGAGCTGAGGTAGGGACTCAGAAATCAAACTGCAAAAATGAAGATCCCTGTTTATGCAGCCCATTATGCCAAGGGGTTAGGAATGTGAAGGTGCAGGCTTTGTCCAAGAGAATTTAACCTCAGGGAAAGATGGGAAGAAACAACACGAACACATCCAACTGTACCACAGTTGGAATCTGTGCCACTCACACTAGGCATAGTACAATCAGAATAGGATCAGAGACATGAGGAAGACTTAGTGAAGGAGCTGCTCAAGCAAATATTTTGGAAAAAGAGCCCCAGGTCTCGTAGGGAGGAAGGTGCCAGGTACCCTGCAGGTGTTGAAGGAGAGTAAGCCAATGTTGAAATTGCCCTTGTTGTTATTGTTAAAGCTGTTCTTATTCTTACTGTCCGGTTCTAGAGCAAAAGGGACGAAGACATTGGATTCAAGAAACAGAACAGGTCTCAAACGAGGTCAGAAATTTGATAGAAGAAGAGGTCAGAGCTAGGTTCTGGAAATGTTTGGGAAACTGTTTTGTTTCAAGGAGCTAAAACTTTCGTGGTTGAATATTTCATTTGAATGTTTTCTTCATCTATGCAAACAAGAAGGTTCTCAGACGAGGACCTTCGAGGTCTCAGCACTTACTTCTCTGATGAAGAAGCATTGTTCTGTACTGCTATGGGTAATATGGAATCACAGGAGGGTTATAATCAAATCTGCATCTTAGAAAGATAACCCTATTAGCAGGCTATATGAAAATGTATTAAAACTCTTTTACTATTATGCTTGGGTATTAACTTTAAAATAGGGGACAGTTTTTCTTCCCTATTTCTTTCTTAACCTTCTCCTCCATCTCTCACCTTGTTCCTTTGCGCAAGTCTAGGCTTTGCTCCTTGCTTCAGAAAATTGGCATCCACAGATAACAGAGATAAAGACACATTGTCCTGGCTTTTGAGTTTCTAAAGCCTTGTTGCTGAAGGAAGGACTCTGACTTGCACGGGTGATTTAGGAGAGAATCCGTGATGCTCCATTTGGAGTTACCTCTCCAGTCTCTGCAAAAAGGAGGTGGGGCTGGGGAAAGTAAGAACTCTGCAGATGATTAGGGCACTCTTCAGGGTGGGATTGCGTTTCCTGGTGCATGCAGTAGAACTTGGTGATAGAACCCATTGACTTGTGAGACTTATGAGACTGGATTGGTTTCTTTTTTTTAATACCAAGAATCAAACTCAGGACCTTTCGCTTGCCAAGCAAGGTGCTGTGCTGCTGAGCTATATCCCCAGCCATGAGATTGGAATTGGGGTAGGACTTCTCTTTCTTACTTGGTGGAGCCCCAGGAAGGTGACAAGACCTCAAAGAATTGGATTTGGGGTATGTCTAGGCAGACGGTGCTGTAGACACAGCTTCACAGAGTTCCCCATCCCCCATTATGAATCAAGAGCCAGGGGAAGGGAAGGCGGCTGGTTTTAATGGGCCCAGTGAGCAGAGTGAGGGACCGCTCAGCTGCCATCTATATGGATGGATGTCAAGGCAAGGAGTGAGTAGTGGTTTCAGCAGATGCCAATCCAATGGGCACAGATGACTGGACTAGAAGTGCATGTTCAGGCATGCATGCACTGGCCCCCAAGCGCCCTGCACAAAGATACAAAACTGAACTGATGGAGAAAAGGTGTTTATTCCTTTGGTGAGATAAAGGCTGACACAGAAATTTAGCGAGTGAAATTACAAAAAAAATTGAGGAAAATTTGTGTATGTGTATCTGTATATAAACTTCAGATTTAAACCTACTAGTCCCTAGTGCTAAATGATAAAGCTTTTCAAGCAGTTGATTTGTCTGAGGTTCTAATACATTGCAGAGGGTTTTGAATAGAGCTGTTGGATTTTTAATGTCACAGCTTTAGGTCTGATCCTGCCTTTTAGGGTCAGTGTCACATTCCCTTATCTCTCAAGACTACTGGGAAACAACAATTAAAGTTACCCAAGCTTATATAAAGAACATAGGTTTCGAAAATTATCAAGCAGTGGGTCATGGCTAGATCTGCCCATGGAAAGCCCCTGGATGGATATCAATAAAAAGTTCTTAGGTTTTATAAGAACAGATAAAGGGAAGTTGCTTAATATGTAGAATTGGTACCAAAAAAAAAAAAAGAGAGAGAGAGAGAGAGAGAGAGCTTGCTTAAATATTGTACAGTGAGTATCTTGGAGCCCCAAACTTAGGCATAGGCCTGGGACATGTGGCTTGCTGAGTGAAAGAATGAGTGCTTGATAAGTGACATAAATTGTCTCTCGAGGCTGCCAGTCCTCTTTGTTCTGGGCTCCGAGGGCCTGGCGATCCCTTGTCCTGTGGGCTGCTGCCACAGCCACGACCCCAGGGACATCCAGTTTAGGAACAAAGAGGGGGTCCTGGGGAGCAGCTGCGATGCTGCGTTTATGGTCATTTGCTTTTTGATACTCCAGCTGAAGTAATATAATATGTGTGAACACATTAATCCTGATCTGCTTTTCTATTTAGAATGGGTTACTTGGAGGTGAAAACATCCAAGTGTTCTCATCTGTGTCCACAATTTAGGTTGCTTTATTTGCATACAAATACATTAGAAGTAACTTGACTTAGTGGACCAGCAGAGCTTTTGTTTGCCAGATCTTCTTAAAGAACTAGTTGTTACCTTGCATGAGTAAGGGATAAAAATTGGCAAGCCCAATAATGAATCCATCAGTATAGGGCTGGGGGCCGAGAGACCACCGATGTGATTGATGGCCCCCCCTTCCCCAAATCTAATTATAGGAACTCAGTCTCTGTGTTTGTTTCAGAAAGTCTAGCCCAATATTTGAAGGGTGGGGCAAGAGTACAAATGGAGACCCCCCCATATTATACGTCTAAATATTTAAACCCAGCTAAGAAATTAGCATAGAATATATTCTTTCCTCTTGCCTTGAAAAATATACCTTCAGAGGGATCCAGAATAACAAATTGAATATAGATTTCTTGGACCTTTTAGAATTTTGCCTGTTTCCCCGACAGTGTCCCCCTTCTCTATGCTCCCCCACCCCATCCCACTATCCCACATGTTGAGGACACACCAGTCTGCCAGTTTTGTTCTGTATGAAAGCTGTCTGCTAGTTACACCTTAGACCTAGGAGTGAGCACAGCCATGGACAGTCCATCCTTAGGTCTTAGGCCCTGGAAAGAGGTGTCAAATGGGCTTATGTCCCTTTGGCAGGGAATTCTGGGTTTCTCAGTACCAAAGAGTGGTCCGGAATGTGGAGTATGGGCTTTGGGTGGACACCTCCCTAGCCCCTGTGACTTATGACCCTGTGGAAAAATGGTGCCCGAGAAGGCCTAGAGTGGTGGTGGCGAACCTATGGTACATGTGTTGCAATGGGCACACAGAGTGCTGTCTGTTGGCACATGAGTCAAGTTGTCCCACCCAAGGTTTGACAAATTATCATCGTGCATACAATAGCAAAGATCATATTAACTGTGCAAAAGCACACCCAATACAAACTTGTACCTTTCAATAAAAAACTTTTTATCATTGAAAGCTCTGTTACAGTATTTTTCTTTTAAGACAAAAGATGTTAATATATAAATTATTTTTCTAAAATGAAACCTCAGTGTTCAGGTTTAATTGCAGTGTTGGCACTGTGTGATAAGTGTGTTTTGAGCTGCAGTTTGGGAACTCGGTCTCTAAAAGGTTCGCCATCACTGGGCTAGAGAAAAACCCTTTAAGGAACAAGGTCTGCAAAACCAACCCTTCCTTCCTAGACATTTCTGCTTGTTTTTGTTTAGGAATACAAATGCTTGCAGGAAGAAGAGAGAAAAATAAATATCTTCTGAACCACAGAGTTGTCTGAAGATTGATTTTATCTGGTCTCTAACAAGGGCCCCCGCATTTGATGAAATTTGGTCTGAGTTGAAACTTGCTTTTATTGCAACAGCTCCACTTGGTAGCAAGCTTGTCAGGGCGGGGACAGACAGACCCTAATTGTGTCCAGCCGCGGGAAGGTACTAACACTTACGGTGGCAGAATCATGATTGACTGATACAGAACCAGTCATGGCTTCGGAGTCCCATTTACGTCTTCTCGCTTCCATGCTGGGCCTGGCACGTGTTGCATGATGAGTTGGGTACAGCAAGACATTTTGTTTCTCCCTTTGAACTTGGAAACGAACTTTTTGTGCAGTTGGTATAAATTCAACAGCCAGAAGGGTATAGTAACACATGCCTGTAATTCTCGCACTCAAGGAGGCTGAAGCAGGAGAATAGCAAGTTTAAGCCCAGCCTGGGCAATTTAGTAATACTCTGTCAAAAATTTAAAAATAAGTTAAAGAGGGGCTAGGCATGTAGCTCAGTGCAAAGGCCCTGTGTTCAATACCCTCTACCATCCAATAAATAAATAATCATGAACCTAAAGTTCCTCTCTCAGCCCTCCGTGAAATCCTTCTCCAGGACCTCCTTCTCACTGGTCCGTGAGCCTCAGGGGCCGTGTGGGTGGTAACCTCATCCAGCCCCAGCTGGTGGGCTGAGGAGCCAAGGTGAGGTGAATGTGAACCCAGATAATTCAGAGGTTTTCAGAAACCTGCAAAAAGTCAGAAAAACCAGCAGTTTCTCCAGAGACAGGAAGGAAAGAAAGTGGGTCTAAGAGCTAGATCCTAGACTCAATTTTTGCTGATAATTTACCAGTGAGTTTGTACAAATCTCTCTCCTTTCTGGGCCTCCAAATGTCGAGTTTGAATTAAATGATCTGAAGCCCCTTTTAATCCCCAAATTGTGAGGTTATGGGACTCTGATGGGTTAAGGTGCCCTCTAATGTAAAAAAGGAACATTTTCCTTTTCCTTTCAAGTACAAGCGAACCTCCTTCCCTACAGGGAGCCTGCGTCCCAAGTCTGTCTGCTGAGACGACAGAGACAGGAGTCCTTCCACTTCTGTCTGGGTGGCTGGCCCGGGCTGGCCTGCTCAGCCAGGCCGTGCTTTTGCAGGCTTCAGCGCAATGGAGCAATTTCCTTCCCCCTCACATTAGTTTAATTGAGCGTTCACTTTTGTGCCTGCGTGTCAGTTGGTCCTCAGTGAGTCACATGGTTTGCAGATGTGTGGCTAGAATTTCAATCTGGAACTCCTTTTCCCTGGCCTCAGCAGCTCAGATCTGTATGCTTCTCCCCGCCCCTCCCTTTTCAGGAAAAGCGATGAAGAGGTAAAGAAAACACAGCAAGAGGGAAGTTGCCGGAGTAAGCTTTTCCCATCCTTAGTGTCCTGGAGACGTTTGGTCTGCTCCTTGCTCTTTGAGATTGTTCCAGGTCTTGGAAAGCTCACTGAGCATAGCAGCAGGCAACTTGAGGATTCTCCATCTTCCTGCTGGCTGCTCTGCTTGAAAGGGTGCCACGAGGCTCCCAGATTTGACAGAGAGACGGAGTCTCTGAACTGCTGGAAGAAGGATAAATTTCCACAGCCTTGTTTACATATGTCACACTGGCAGTCCTATCAGCTTGGCGAGTTCCGGGAGCTCTGAGGAGGCCCTGCCAAGTTGCACTGAGCAAGTGCAAACCTGGCAGGCACGGCAGCCCCCTCCCCTACAGGGCTCACCTTACCTTCCTCCTTTTCAAGTGTCCGTCTCAAGTTTTGTTCATGACCATCTCTCCGTCCTCCAGACACCTTAGTCCTCTCAGGTCCCACAGTGTTTCTCAGCATGACACTTCCGTCCCTGGGACACCGTCCTGTACTCCAGGTTCCCCGTATGTGTATATTAAGGAGCTGCTAGCAGGTCTGTCGGGTGAACTCACCTGTGGGCTTCTCACCTTTCAATAAAAAGGTGAACAGTCAGAGTGTCTCAGTCCAGTTGTGCTGCTGTAACAAAATACCTCGCACTGGATAATTAATAAATGGTAGACATTTGTCTCTCATAGTGCCGAAGACTAAGAAGCCCAAGATCAAGGCAGTGGCAGGTTTGGTGTGTGCTGAGGGCTGCTTGCTGGTTCCAGATGACACCTTGAATACTATGTCACCACCTGGCAAGGATGGAAGGGTAAGGAAGGCCAAACCCTATGTGGATTAAACCTCTCTCATGGGAGCCTTAATGCCATTCACGAGGCAACAGCCCCTATGACCCAGCCACCTCCTAAAGCCCCCACTGATTAATATCATTATATTGGAGTTAAAGTTTCCATATGAATTTGGAGGGACACAAACATTTAAGCCATAGCAAACAGGAATGCGGAATGGGGAAGGTACCTGTTTTTCAGGAAGACAGTTCTGTAGAATTGTTTTGGGCAGCCTCATTTGCACGAAGCTGAGAAGAAGGACAGTTGTAGCTCAGCCCGGTCCTCCCTTCCTGAGACGTCTTCCTTGCTCATGGCTCTACTCCCCACCCGCCGCTTCTCTCCTATGAAAACCTCTTTCTATAAAAGTTGCCCCCATCTTTGTTTATTCTGCTAAGATAGAAGCCGGTGTTTTACCCTTTTCAGGGGTATTTGTCGCTAATTATGAGTGAGTTGAAAGCTCTGTCACCTGTGAAGGGGATTTGAAATGCATTCGAGGTGATGGGAAGATGTGGGGATAGGGGGTACCTTTTTCACCAAAAGATCACAGCTGGCAGAGTCTCTGTGCCAGTCAAGGGCGTTTCGAAATTTGCTGAGTGGTCAAAATTTTCTCAAGTCCAGTGTTGTGGTGCACTCCTGTAATCCTTGCACTTGAGGGGCTGAGGCTGGAGGACTGCTGCAAGTTTGAGGTCAGCCTAGACTACATAGTGACTTGAAGGCCAGTCTGAGCGACATAGCGAGACCTGTCTCAAAAAAACTTCCTTTGTTTTCAAAAAAACTTAAAAAAAAAATTCTAGTCTAAAGATTTTTGAAAACTTTTTTTCAACAGTGTGTTTTGGAATGCTAAATTAAGGGAAATGAATCACAGGTTATTCTAAAATATTACCTAAAGCTTATAAATGAAGGAAATGATTCCACACTGTACCATGACAATTTAACCTAGCTAGGTTATCTTGTACTAAATGTAGGCTATTTTTAATGGGTCATCTGTATAATATGACTTGCTAGCAGTTGGAGCTGGAGAATATTTAGCTGAAAGGGATGTAAAAGTCCATTATTCCTGGGTCTTCAAAGTATGGTTCACGGGTCAACAGTCCTGGCCTCACCTGGGAGCCTGTTAGAATTCAGACTCTCAGGAGCTACTTTATACTTGATGAATCAAAATCTGCATCTTACCTAAAGTCTAAGAAGTGAACTTGATTACCTTTCAGAATGACCTGATACATTTGAAAATCTGGAATACCTGGCTTCTATTCCCAAACCCCTTTCAACATGTTTGGAGTCCAGTGAACTGTGCATTTTCAGAAAATTTCCTTACGAATAGCCAAGCTCAGGAACTGTCCATCTTGTTCATTTTCTCTGTTCTGGTAAGGAAAATGAGACCCAGAATGACCTGTCCAAACTATCAGCAGGTTAAAACCCAGATCTCTTACATACACAAATCACATTATTACATACAGTTGAGAAGATTTTGCTTATAGAATTTGTTCCAAGAAATAGAAGAGACTTTGCTTGATTTAAACTGAAGCTTGCCAGTAATATAAAGGGTTTATAAGACTTTTTAAAAATCTTGATTTTGTTTATTTATTTATGTATTTATTTATTTAGAGACAGGGTCTCACTATGTAGTTCAGGCTGGCTTTGAACTCACTGTATAGCCCAGGCTGGCCTTGAACTCATGGTGATCCTCCTGCCTCAGCCTCATGAGTGCTGGGATTATAGGCATGTGCCACCATGCCCAGTTGGAATTATAGAATTTGAGATTGTTTCTCAAGAAGCTTACAATGAATGGAGACAAAGAGATGGTGTCATCCAATAAATAAAAGTAAGGAAAGGCACTCATGACTATGTTTGCAACTCTACATTCATGTATGTGCTGAAATGTTTTCCTCCTCTGTAATCCTGTAACATTTTGTTTCTGTTCCCAAGTAACTGCTTCCAGCCTCCACATTAGTATAATTCTTCATGTATTGAGCTTTGTGCCTGGCTCATGAGCATGAGACTCTTTTCTTAATGACCTTTGTAGCCAGCTATCCAGTGCTCTACACACAGCAGACAATGGAGCAAGTGAGGATCGACATGCAAGGTGGGAGGTTATAAGAAGCCCTTCTGGACGCCATCCCAGTCCGGAGGAATGCACATTTGGAATCCTAGGGAAAAGTTATTGGAATTCCAATGGGTAATTCCAATCTACTATTTCCAGTGCAATTCACGGTGAGAATAAAGACACTAAGGTATATTTGTAGTTGTGGGGAGGCAAGGGAGTCCTAAGTCCAGTTAGGACAATGGCTAACCGGAACAAAGGCCTTGACCCAGGGCCGAACCAGGGTTTTAGTAATTCATGATGAGAGGAGTAGCTCAGGGATGAGTGAGAGGCAGCAAGTACATGAGTGCTGTGAGCTGGGATACGTAGGTGGCCTGATAACACCTCTGCAATATGCAGAGAGAGATACAGAAAGAGTAATCTGCATATCACAGACTGAGTAAATATCTCTGATTTAGGGGTCAGTGGCTTTGACGTCTAGTCTTCATGGCCTAACACCTAGATTCCTTTTCAAGCCCCTGTCTCAGCTGACAGTGTAGCACCACTCATAGCTCACCCATAGTAGTTAGGAGCTATAGGCAGGGCATCACTGACCTGTCCCATTGCTTTAAAGACTGCACATCAGCGCCTCATCTAAATCCATTTACATTGCTTAAAACCAATTGAGGGGATAAGAAATATCCTAGTAGCTCTGTACATATCAATGCATGGAAATAGGGCCAGGTTTAGCCAAAATAGAGACAGATGTTCTTCTTTCAAGGAGAGCCATCCGGTGGTCCTCCACTGGCAGTGTTGAAGTTGTCATGTTATTAATTATTTATTGCTTAATCTGTGTGCCTGCACCAGACAGCGGATCTGCTGGTGTTTTTCTGTTGTACTTCCCAGCCTCCAGAACCGTGAGGAATGTTTGTTGTTTGAACTACCCATTCTATGGTATTTTGTTATAGCAGCCTATGTGTACAAAATCAGTGTGCTACATTGAACCAAGAGGTGGGTAGAATACTAAATTTATAAAACACAATCTCACCTATAGAGTATTTATAATCTAGTATATAAGATGTATAGAAGATAATACTTAGTATCCTAAAATAGTCACCACAAGTAAATAAATAAAATAAAACAAAATAAAGTTACCAAAAATGTATGCACACTTCAGGAAAAGAAAAATACAATGATGGTTTTTAGACAGATGGTGTTACCCTCACATGGGGGACCATAGGAGATGTCATATATAGCAAAAAACCCACTACACTGCGGCCCTAAGAGAAAAAATTGAAAATACACGTGTAGCAATCTCAATGACCAAGGTTAGCAAAGCAGCAGTTTGCCATACTAATAAATATCTGGAAGCTAATGGCCACCACTTTGAGCATCTCTTGTAACTGAAGAGGCCTAAGGTAAGGTGTATTAATTTTCTGGTGTCTCAATAAATTTAGTATTAAAATATTTATATGTTTTCTTTTTCTAAAGTGTGTATATATTTTTTGGCAGACTCTGTATATTCAAGATTATAAGCCAACATGAAAATAAGGGTCAACTGAATTATCCCTACACTATCAGTAATGTTTCCACCCAGCATCTACTATCAACAAAAAACCCCTATGCAGTATAAATTTCCAGAACACCTGCAGAGGATAATAGGACTCCTGCTGCCGATGGAGGAGGTAAGTGAGGGTACAGCAGCGCTCTTAAACTTCCGTGTGCCTCCAGAGCCCCTAGAGACGTTGCGGAAATGCTGACGCAGGAGGTCCTGGGTGGGCACGTGTCTAGGACAGACGAGGCCTTGGGTTCAAACTTCAGTACCGCAAGAAACAAAAACAAACAACAACAGCAAAACATTGAGGAGGTCAGGGATAGGCTCTGAGAATCTCCATCTCTACCATCCCTCCATGGCTTCTCCAAGTCATTGCCCCTGCCGCCTGTCCCTAGGTGGAGCTGGAGAAATGAGAGGAAGAGGAACAACCCCGGGTTTAAGGAGCAGAGCTGTCACAGAAAAGAAGGGACTACAAACACGGCCTTGAAGAAAAAGATGGCTGTGTGGCTGATGATGTGCCCTGAGGCCCGGCTGTAGGCAGCCGGGCACACTGGACCCCGCGGCAGGCGGGGCTGGACTCTGTGCCCACAGCCGGTAAACAGCCTTAAGCCAGCAGTGGCAGTGAGCCGGACATGTGGGGTAAAAATAACAGCTCCCTATCGGGGCCCAGTCTGCCAGACCCTGGTGAAGTTCGTTTCTTTCAATAAATCCAGCAGCTTCCCCTTTGATAAATGCTGCCAAGGCTGGAACATGTCGTGCTAACAAAATATGGTTTTAATTTGGGGCCCACTGCACTCATGGTTAAACACTGTGTGTGTGTGTGTGTGTGTGTGTGTGTGTGTGTGTGTGTGTGTACACAAAAGCAGCCTCACAGCCAGCCAAGTTAATATGCCTGG